GCACTGCTAGGTCCGCATCCCAGAAGCCACCTGTATCCTCCACGGCCAGGAAGGGATGTACATGCAATGCACAGGAGGAGCTACAGGTCCTCTGGCATCATCCATCTGATCATGCACATGGGCAGAGTTCCTAAGTTGAGTCTCATGAGTGTTCCCATATCAAAAGCAGATCAGTGAAAAGAGAAGTCCTGTGGAAGCTGAGGCATCTGGACTGCATGTTGGGACTGCACGTTGGGACTGCTGGGCCTTCATCTCCCTTCCTGGAAGGTCAGAAAGCAGGAGAGGTGCTGCAAGATGTGCCTAAGGGAAAGGTGACCGCAGAGTTTGGCATTACTTAAGGCATTAGAGATGAGCTTTTGTCCTAAAATCAGTAAGATCCTTCGACCTCTAGCCTTCCGGGAGAGAGAATGTCCCTGGCCAGCCCACTGCTGCCTCAGCATTTCGGAGGAGCCAAGGAGCACACAGCGAGGCACAGAGGGCTCCCTGGTGGCATCAAAGCCTATTACCTGAGGTCTGGTCTTTTGGAGCTGCTATGTTTCATCCCCTCTGTGCGTGCAGCGAGCTTTGTGTGCATCTTGCTTGTGCAGCCTCCGCTCCGGCCCCAGTTCCTTGGAGGAGGCGGTGGCAAGCCGGCGGCAGCTGCCCTGCAAAGCCCCGCTGCGAAGCCGAGCGCTGCCGGCTGCGTCAGCAGCTCCAGCAAAGCAGCATCAGCAAAGCGATGCAAAGGGAGATTTGTACCAGCTGAGGTTCTGGCCCCCGAGGTACCTGACCTGCTTTCCCATTGCCAACTATGTTTCAACCCATTAAAGGTCATAGGAAGTTGGGTTTATTTTTAGTTTTCCCTTTTAAATTGCCCTGGAGCAGTGAAGGCTGATGGAAGAAGTATCCTCTCTCTTGTCGGCTGTTAGGTCAAGATCCCAAGATGTTGCTAATGGATGGGCTTGCCCATCGCAAGCTCCCTGCGAAAAGCCCAGCCGTCGGACCTTCCCCTCTCCGAGACAGCCCACTGGCGCACCTCCCAGTCTTTCTGGAGCGCCGCAGGGAGCAGCACTGACCCACACTTAACAGCAGGAGCAATTTAGCCTTGGCAAATGTTGCTTCTTCCTCATTGCTGCAGTGGCGTTATCCCAAGCACTTATTTTTCCTTTTGTTCCTCGTATTGTTTCATGGGGAAACTCAGAATCAGGCTGGTTCCTGCAGAATTCGGGGAACTTCAGGCCAGCCCAACTCCTTGCAGGGCGCAGGCTGGCCTGGTGACGCAGCAGGCGTTTTCCTCCCCGTCCTCCGGCTCGGCCAGTGTTAGCAGGGCCCGCCTGACCCCTGCCACTGCTCGGGGTCCCCCTTCCCAACAGGGAAGGGGGCTCAGGACTCCCCTGATGGGTGCAGGGGAGTGCGGTCGTGTCACCCGTTGCTGGCCCATCTGAGCGGAGCAGGATCGCTAGGCCTGGATACGCAGCAGGTTCTCTCTGTTGTAGGAAATCTCATGTTTTCCTTTTTTTTTCCCCCTCGTTCTATAAATGGAACGAAGACGCTTAAAATAAATTCACTGAGAGCACCGCTGAGAAAACACAATGAGATCAAATCAAAGTGTTTGGATTAATTAGCTTAAACTGAAACCTTTCATTCTGATTTCAACCTCAGCTTTATGTACAAAAAATTAAAGCAACAAAGCTTTGTGAGTTGAAAAATCTAAATGTTCCGCCCTGGAAATATCAAAACGAGACATTTCAGCCTCACTGATATGCTTTGTTTCTTTTTGAAATGAAATGACATCAAGACCAACACCTTTTCATGTTGCCTGGCTCATTAAAAGAGCTTCAAAACAAAATCCAAATCAGCATAAGCAATTAATATCTTAATTAGTTTTTCTCTTTTTCTGCCAAAGGAAAGTCTACAAATACTGATTTTTTTCCACCCCTAGACTATGAGCTGGCCAAAATTATCAAAAGATTTCTTTAAATATTTCCCCTTACGTTGTGGTGATGCATGGAGCTTGAGCTGAGTGAAACAGATGAAGTGATTTATACCAGTCATGTAATTGCCCAGGCTTCTTGGTGGGTGCTGCTCTTGTCAGAAGATTTCTGGTGTTATTGGCTGGGGGAAAGTGGCATTAAATGTGCTTTTTTGTGCTGTTTGTGTGGGAGACGTATTTACTCAGCTCCTTACAGCTCATAGCATGTGAATATTGAAAGGAAAAGTAATAAGAAGGAGGTTGGGATTTTATAAATGCTTTTGTGGTCTCAAGGTGAACAACACAGAAGTTTTTGTGAACATTTCCCTACCGGATAAAGTTGAAAAATTGGAGATCTGGGAGGGGCTCTGTTCAGTTTGTCATTTTTCAATGCTTTCCCTGTCCTTTTATTGTTATTTCTATTTTGATGGCAAAATAGGAAAGGGTAAAAACAGAGGAAGGGAAAAATAAAGAAGGAAAAGAGAGGTTAGAAGGGAGAAAAATAGGGAAATGGAGAATTTAAAATGAAATATTTTGAAAATATGATTTTCTAGAGATATTTTCAAATGATATACATTTCCTTCAGAAACCTCTCCATTTTTACAATTTTCTGTTCTCATTTTCCAGCAGCTCTATTCAATGCAGCATCTGAACCAACCTTTGCTGCAAATCTCAGGCAGGGTTTGCCCGGCACGTTACCTGACCCGCAGCGCCTTTAAAGCAGAGACAATAAAAACACCACTGGAAATAAGTGTGCCTTTCGTTGACTGCTCGTTATTGCAGTGCATGGAGGATGGCTTTTGCGAGCCAGCAACCAAGCGGTTCCTGGCCCCGGTACTCCCAGCAGGGGAGGGAGCCCAGGGGCTGTCCGCTGGGTCCGGCCGGTCGCGCTCGTGCCAGCGCTGAGCGCGGTGTCAGTGCTCAGGACTCTGTTCCCATATAACAGAGTCTCCCCTCGTTTTTCCTTGCAAGCCGGGTTCTTCAGCTGTAATCTCACAGCGCTTTCCCCATCTAACGTTTATTAGAAGGTGGGAATTAGCTGGTTAAGGACAGTTTTATTGCTTCTCTGTGATGTGATACTGGTTTTCGCTTCCTGGTGAGAGGTCGGGGTGAGACTGGGGAGTTGCAGGGACTCATCCCGACTCCTGTCGCGGGGCTGGGTGACCTTGTGCCTCCCAGGGCCTGACTCATGGCACGGCACGGCATGGCATGGCACGGCACGGCATGGCACGGCACAGCATAGCATAGCATAGCACAGAGCGGCGTGGCACAACAGGTATGGCACGGCACAGTATGGCATGGCACGGCATCACATGGCATGCCACAGTATGGCATGGCACAGCACAGCACGGCATAGCACGACACGGCATGGCCTGGCAGGGCTCCCACGCTGCCCAGGAGGCCTTGCCAGGCCCCCGCAGAGGAAGTGCAGCTCTCCCTGCTGACAGCCACACGTGGCCAGCCTGTCTGTACGCCGTCAGCAGAGAGCACTGCGGCGGGCGCCGCGTGCCATGCTGCAGCCCACGGCCCGTGGCGGTGTGCAGGCTGCTGGTGTCCATGGGCTCTGGGCAGCAAGGCTGCGACCTGGCTCCAAACTGGTTTTTGCAAGGCTTAGTCTGCGCTGGGACCAGGATGCTGATGGCGCGGTTGTTGCTGCCATCTATAGGCACTGGCAATTAATGTCCTGCAGGGAGAGAGCCTTGCTGCTTGGCATTTTGCACCTCCGTGGGCTTTGTGGCTATTAGCTAATGAATTCTCCTACGGGGCTGCAGCTGGGAAGCAGAGATGGAGAAGCAACGTGACTCCTGTAAGACCACAGTGAGCACAGCGGGCAAGGCAGACCTCAGCCGTTCCCATTGCGAACCCCGTGCTAAGGTCATTAGAAGAGATGTGTGCCTGTCCCTGCAGCTCCCAAGCTCTGCCCTCAACAGGGGCAGTCGAAACCAGCAGCACCCACACGAGCCCCCTCTCCGCCTGAAACAGTGGGATCTACGTGCCGAGAGGCTGCATCCCAAACCTGCCTTGGGAAACAGGATGGCAGTCTCCGCAAAGGCTCATCCCCCTCTCTGCCCTGCTAGACCAGGCTGCACGCACCACTGCCAAGGCTCAGCCCCATCCCTGCACCAGAGCATCCTGTCACCACTCTGAATTCATGGCTTCCTGTCCCCTTCCCTGGGCATGGTCCATGGGCTGGACCCCAGCGGCACCGCAAGCCCAAGGCAGGGCTGCGTGTCACACTGCTGATGTCCGTCACTGTGCGTCCACGCGTGGCAGACCCGGGAGCTGGAATTCGACAGCGTCTGCCACGCTGCTTCGTTCTGGAGAGAAGGGCACCGACCCCGGCTGCGGTGCTCAATACCGCCCCGCACAGGCCCCGCACGCGCTCCCCAGGGGGAAGTGCTGCTGGCTTGTTTTTGTCTTACAGCCCGAGCAACAATAGTGCTTTTGGTTGCCTGCCAGGAGCCAGGCACCGGTGCTGA